GTACTTGGAATTGCGAGGATTTACCGCAGAACAGTTGTAGGGGGTGATGAGTGGTAGTGTTCTGTCCTCTCAGACCGTTGGTCTGGAATAGGATTAGATAGGGTTAAATAGTGGACTAGTGTAGTGCTTTTTGTAGAGAGGGTTAATAGTTGCAGGGCAATTTTCCTTTTCCCCAATTTTGTATTACTGTATCAAGAATTTAATGTACGGAGGCCGTGAATGGCCTAACACACCAGTAAGGTAGGTGGCGGTGTATGCACCTAAAAGTTGGATGCGATCCACCAACCAAATCCTAAAGAAGAAGAAAACCGCAGACACTCTGCCCAAGATTCAAATATTTCATCAATGAGAAAATTTGCAGAATGTCAGCCAAAATCCATCTCGTTCCATCTTCTCCCACTGCCGGCCACTTCAAATCAAATCGTGTTTGTCACATGCGCCGAATACAACCGGTGTAGACCTTACCGTGAAATGCTTACATATAAGCCCTTAATCAACAATGCAGTTTTAAGAAAAATAAGAGTTAAGAAAATATTTACTAAATAAACTAAAGTATATCTTTTTAAAGAGTAACAATAAAATAACAATAATGAGGCTATATACAGGGGGTACCGGTACCGAGTCAATGTGCGGGGGTACAGGTTAGTTGAGGTAATTGAGGTAATATGTACATGTAGGTAGTGGTAAAGTGACTATGCATAGATAATAAACAGTGAGTAGCAGCAGCGTAAAAAAGGGAGTGAGGGGGGTCAATGCAAATAGTCTGGGTAGCCATTTGATTAGCTGTTCAGCAGTCTTATAGCTTGAAGGTAGAAGCTGTTAAGAAGCCTTTTGGACCTAGACTTGGCGCTCCGGTACCGCTTGCCGTGCGGTAGCAGAGAGAACAGTCTATGACTAGGGTGGCGATACAACCAGTCAGGATGCTCTCGATGGTACAGGTGTAGAACTTATTGAGGATCTGAGGACCCATGCCAAATCTTTTCAGTCTCCTGAATAGGCGTTGTCGTGCCATCTTCACGACTGTCTTGGTGTATTTGGACCATGATAGCTTGTTGGTGATGTGGACACCAAGGAACTTGAAGCTCTCAACCTGCTCCACTACAGCCCCGTCAATGAGAATGGGGGCGTGCTCGGCCCTCCTTTCCTGTAGTCCACAATCATCTCCTTTGTCTTGATCACAATGAGGGAGAAGTTGTTGTCCTGGCACCACACTGCCAGGCCTCTGACCTCCTCCCTATAGGCTGTCTCATCGTTGTGATCAGGCCTACCACCGTTGTGTCGTCGGCAAACTTAATGATGGTGTTGGAGTCGTGCTTGGTCACTTAGTCATGGGTGAACAGGGAGTACAGGATGGGACTAAGCACGCACCCGAGGGGTCCCCGTGTTGAGGATCAGCGTGGCAGATGTGTTGTTGCCTACCCTTACCACCTGGGGGCGGCCCGTCAGGAAGTCCAGGATCCAGTTGCAGAGGGAGGTGTTTAGTCTCAGGGTCCTTAGTTTAGTGATGAGCTTTGAGGGCACTATGGTGTTGAATACTGAGCTGTAGTCAATGAATAGCATTCTCACGTAGTATGAAAATGTATGCACTCACTAACTGTAAGTCGCTCTGGATAAGAGCGTCTACTAAATTACTAAAAATGTTTTTTTAAATGTGTTCCTTTTGTCCAGGTGGGAAAGGGCACTATGGAGTGCAATAGAGATTGCGTCATCTGTTGGGGCGGTATGCGAATTGGAGTGGGTCTAGGGTTTCTGGGATGATGGTGTTGATGTGAGTCATGACCAGCCTTTCAAAGCACTTCATGGATACAGACGTGAGTGCTACGGGTCGGAAGTCATTTAGGCAGGTTACCTTGGTGTTCTTGGGCACAGGGACTATGGTGGTCTGCTTGAAATATGTAGGTATTACAGACTCGGTCAGGGACAGGTTGAAAATGTCAGTGAAGACACTTGCCAGTTGGTAAGTGCATGCTCTGAGTACATGTCCTGGTAATCCGTCTGGCCCTGAAGCCTTGTGAATGTTGACCTGTTTAAAGGTCTTACTCACATCAGCTACTGAGAGCGTGATCACACAGTCTTCTGGAACAGCTGGTGCTCTCATGCATGCTTCGGTGTTGCTTGCCTCGAAGCGCGCCTAGAAGTCATTTAGCTCGTCTGGTAGGCTCGTGTCACTGGGCAGCTTGCGGCTGGGCTTCCCTTTGTAGTCCATAATAGTTTGCAAGCCCTGCCACATCCGACGAGCGTCGGAGCCAGTGTAGTAGGATTAAATCTTAGTCCTGTATTGACGCTTTGCCTGTTTGATGGTTCGTCGGAGGGCATAGCGGGATTTCTTATAAGCGTCTGGGTTAGAGTCCCGCTCCTTTTAGCTCAGTGTGGATGTTGCCTGTAATCCATGGCTTCTGGTTGGGGTATGTACGTATGGTCACTGTGGGGACGACGTCGATGCACTTATTGATGAAGCCGGTGACTGATGTGGTATACTCCTCAATGCCATCTGATGAATCCCGCAACATATTCCAGTCTGTGCTGGCAAAACAGTCCTGTAGCTTAGCATCTGCGTTATCTGACCACTTCCTTATTGAGCGACTCACTGGTACATCCTGCTTCTGTGACTCGGCCCTCTGTGGAATAAGTTTGACACGTGATGTACACACTGTATCTGCGAGCTGTTGGCTAGAGCGCACTTGCCAAGACCAGAGGAGGCACATTTACTATTTAACACAACAGTTTTTGTGACAAAACTATCGGTAGGGTTGAAAATGCGATGGAAACACATTGAAATTTTGATTTTTATCCGGTACATGAAAACTTAAGCGAAAAAGTACAATTTGTGTGCACTACGTCATCACGCACAGACTTTTATCTGCAACAAGTCTGTTTGGTGGAAACACACCACTGGTGGAAAAATGTGCATATTTTATTGATGCAGATTTTAATATATTCACATGAAGATCTATCGACAATTGGATGGAAACTAGCTACTAATATAATTTTTGATTGCTAGGCTTACAAATACGATTATTTATTGATACCTTTGAAGCGAGGTCTAGTTGCGGCCACAACCGGATTGCTTGACTGCCGCGAGGGAGATTTGCCGAATAGCCAGTGGCGACCCGTCATTCGTTTGAGCCCCACCTGTTTTAGCTACCGGTCAAAAGTTTTAGAACACCTACTCATTCAAGGTTTATTTTTAATTTTTACTATTTTCTACATTGTAGAATAATAGTGAAGACATCAAAACGATGAAATAACACATATGGAATCCTGTAGTAACCAAAAAAGTGTTAAACAAATCAAAATATATTTTATATTTGAGATTCTTTAAATAGCCACCCTTTGCCTGGATGACAGCTTTGCACACTCTTGGCATTCTCTCAACCAGCTCCATGAGGTAGTCACCTGGAATGCATTTCAATTAACAGGTGTGCCTTCTTAAAAGTCCATATTATTATGGCAAGAACAGCTCAAATAAGCAAAGAGAAACGACAGTCCATCATTACTTTAAGACATGAAGGTCAGTCAATATGGAACATTTCAAGAACTTTGAAAGTTTCTTCAAGTGCAGCCGCAAAAACAATCAAGCGCTATGATGAAACTGGCTCTCATGAGGACCGCCACAGGAATGGAAGACCCAGAGTTACCTCTGCTGCAGAGGATAAGTTCATTAGAGTTACCAGCCTCAGAAATTGCAGCCCAAATAAATGCTTCAGAGTTCAAGTAACAGACACATCTCAACATCAACTGTTCAGAGGAGACTGTGTGAATAAGAACTTCATGGTCGAATTGCTGCAAAGAAACCACTACTAAAGGACACCAATATGAAGAAAAGTCTTGCTTGGGCCAAGAAACACGAACAATAGACATTAGACCGGTGGAAATGTGTCCTTTGGTCTAGAGTCCAAATTTGAGATTTTTGGTTCCAAGCGCTGTGTCTTTGTGAGACGCAGTGTGGGTGAACGGATGATCTCCGCATGTGTGGTTCCCACCGTGAAGCATGGAGGAGGAGGTGTTATGATGTGGGGGTGCTTTGTTGGTGACACTGTCTGTGATTTATTTAGTATTCAAGGCACACTTAACCAGCATGGCTACCACAGCATTCTGCAGCGATACGCCATCCCATCTGGTTTGGGCTTAGTGGGACTATCATTTGCTTTTCAACAGGACAATGACCCAACACACCTCCAGGCTGTGTAAGGGCTATTTTACCAATAAGGAGAGTGATGGAGTGCTGCATCAGATGACCTGGCCTCCACAATCCCCCGACCTCAACCAAATTGAGATGGTTTGGGATGAGTCGGACCGCAGAGTGAAGGAAAAGCAGCCAACAAGTGCTCAGCATATGTGGGAACTCCTTCAAGACTGTTGGAAAAGCATTTCAGGTGAAGCTGGTTGAGAGAATGCCAAGAGTGTGCAAAGCTGTCATCAAGGCAAAGGGTGGCTATTTGAAGAATCTCAAATGTAAAATATATTTTGATTTTTTGAACACTTTTTTGGTTACTACATGATTCCATGTGTAATTTCATAATTGTGATGTATTCACTATTATTCTACAATGTAGAAAACAGTAAAAATTAGGAAAAACCCTTGAATGAGTAGGTGTTCTAAAACTTTTGACCGGTAATGTATATTAATTTGTTTGCCTGTTTTGCATGTTATTTTGGCATTAATACGTGTCACATATCAGTTTGCAAACAATGTAAAAAAATAAAATAATTGAGTTAATAAAGCCGCATACAAACATGGTCTCTTTTTTTTTTTGAGTAAGGCAGCTTAAAAATGCAGGTGTTTCAGCCTAGCTCAGTGCTTTCTGTGGTGGTGGGGCAGCCAGCGGAAAATACAGAGCGATAAAATGTTTTTAAAAATGTAAATGAAATCCATAGATTAAGGCCTAATGAATGTATTTCAATTGACTGATTTCGTCATATGAACTGTAACTCAGTAAAATCTTTGAAAATGTTGCGTTTATATTTTTGTTCAGTTTTTATTATTTTTACTCAAACCTACCCCCGGGTCGGATCCGTATGTTTCCCACCCCTACTCTAGAATCAGTGATAATATTACAATCATCAACACAGGTAAGATGGGTATAAATTCCGATAGGCCAATGTATCAGCATGTGAATGTCATTTTGCCAACATTTTAAATAAGTTAAATACATCATCTTGATTTTTGGCACCGAATGCATAAAAAGACTGGTCTAAGTATGATAGACCAAACCCTGAAGAAGTGTTAGGCGGTCTAATTTAGGCTCCTATATTCTCACTGGTTAAACTTGCAGAGCACACCAGTCTATAAGAAACTACTTACTTGATAAGTGCCAGCTTTCACAGATGTATATGAGTGACATCCAGGAGTACAGAATTGAAAGGATTATAGGTTATTTCTTTTCACACAATTCTTAATTCAGGTAGTCAATACATAGTCACACAAACCTTTGAAATAATTAGTCACAGTAACTAATTTCATGCATTTGTGTTCCTTCAATCAGTGGCTCCTTCCCTTCTCACAGACCATGGAGGTTTTCATCTTTGAGTGTACAGCCCCACTTTTAATAAATAGTCTCTTGTCATTCATTTTTAAATCGTCCTTTGAGATTGTGCAAAATGTCATACCAGCATCGTTTCCATTTTCCTTTGAAAACCCTAAAGAGATGTGCTCTCTGACAGAGGCCTTGTCAGTCTACATAGTGCACCTCTGCCTGGAGCTCTTTGGTCACATAGCCCAGGAGGGCAGCGGTCACCTGCTGCTGTAGGGTGGCGTTACCCATGACCAGGGCAGTCAGCTGGGCCATGTCGGTCCACTGGACCTCGTCCATGATGGCCATGATGTCATCGTAGAGCTTCTGCTGCTGCACCGGGGTCAGTTCCATGATGATCTGAGGCAGCGGCTTGAACTGTCCACTGGTCATCCAGCATCCCAGTAGGCCACCGACGGCACCCCCTGACAGAGATGATGAGGAAGAGGTAAGGATGTATGTCTGAAATGAAGCACCTGTTTCTTTGGAAACCTTGTTAACACTGTTTTAAATGTTTTACAGACCATGAGCCATCATGGTTTTCTATTTTTGATTTATTTTTCTGTGAATGGACTTCGTACGTGTGATCTCACCCCTCCACACAACATTATCAGTAGGCTACTATATGAGAGGACAAGTTGTGTAAGAATTCTCATTTAGATGGAAGACAACTCTTGTGATTTTTATAATCCTCACTCACCCACAGCGATGCCAAGGGGGCCTCCAACCAGTCCTCCTGCAAAGGCTAGTCCCCCTGCTGCCACCGCCCCTTTGGAAGATCCCTTCACTGTGGTCTTTATCTGCTGGTTTGCAGATAACTCGCAACACAGCCGCACAACATCGTTAATTCGTTGCGACATTCTGGGGAACAAAGGTTAAGGGTTTACACCCACATTTACAATAATTCAACAATGACACTGAAAGCTGCATATAGGGGGGTAAACTGAGGGATGGGTCTGGGGAAATGTAACCGCTCTAAAATTCATAGACAGAGCTATGGATGCAAGGATTGACAGTCTGAGATTGCCATGATAGTTTAAAACATATAAGTTATAAATCGTTTACAAACACTCAAATGACAACAAACATTGACTAATACAACCATAGAACTTGAGCTATATGATTAGACAGCTGTACTAAGGTCATAAAGCATTTTGAATTGCATTTTATAAGAATCAAATGGGTATTTGATTACCTTAAAAACCGTATACATGACCTTTGAACAGCAGGAAATATGTGGCTACAATAAATAGATAAGTATTGTCATCAATGTCATGTTATTTCAGTATATAGTCTATAATCGAAATGTAAGTGTTCTACTTGCTTTGGTAAACACATTTTTAATGTATTAATTCGACAATACATGTAATGCTAATTCTATTTGGTAGAATGCATTTGGTACAATTCAAGTTACAATGCATCACATCACAGGACGTTAAAGATGATCACGTGATGACATTACATGTGTGATACATTGTTTCGCTAAACGAAGTTACAGCGATAAGATACAAATACTGTAATATAAACTAATAGTCAACATACCTTGATGATGAACTAAAATCCTTGTATATTGTCCGCTTGCTATATTGCTAAGGTTCGATGCCAGTCAAAACTAGAGTTTTTTTCAAGCGTCATTCTTGATTTCGCGAGCCTTGAGGGAATTATATTAGACTGAACCGGGGGGAAACGGTGAGGGAGGAGCGTCCTCATCGAGCATCTTCTGGCCATAATGTCAACAAAACAGCATGATGAATCGTTCAGAAACACAAAGCATGTATTTTTTTTATATAAAACATATGCGTTTTTATAAAGATCAAACACTTTTGCATGTGGAAACACTGAATCCTATCTCATTAATCCACGTGCTTAACAAACGTCACTTTTGTTTTCAGCGGACTTCGCCGTCGGATTTGACCGGGGCACCCGGCTCACCCCCAGGAGGCAGCCCAGTTTCAAAACTAAATGCGATCACCGCTAACCCGGTGCCCCAAGGGCAGACCCGGGGCATTAATCGAATTCCCTCATTGTCACGGTCGCAGTGCTTTATGGTACTGGTTCATTTCCTGTAAAGCCATTACATCAGAGAGCGATGAGCCAATGAGAAAAGGTCTTATAGTATTTCATATTATGTTTTTTTTCTTCTCAATAATATGCTATTCAATCATTCCCATATTGGGAGTCAAACTACATCAAATTAGCCTAGATCGCTAATCAATTAGACTGATAAACATTGCTGGTAGAAGTTGTCTTTGAAACACAGATCTAGGATCAGCTTACTCGCCCCAAATAACAAGGACATGGCCATCGTGGGGACGATGCAAAAATGTACCTCAGACCAATCAGGTGTTGTCACTAGTTACCACAGCCACAACGTCAAAATTGGCAATACCTTACAAGTTAATTTAAGGTTAGCAGTGTGGTTAAGGTTAGGTTTAAAATCAGATTTTAAGAATAAAAATTGTAGAAATAGTCGGGGTTTAGCCATAATTATGAATTTGTGGCTGTGGTAACTAGTGAGGACCCAGATCAGGCACCCGATTAGACTACAATCACCCCATTAAAACGAGGAAATCATCACACTATTCATATTGTGAATATGCTATTGCACAGATTAATGTACTGGTAAATCCCTTTTGCTTTCGCGTGGTCTTTCTTATTTGGTGGGGGTTTATGGCGGACTACAATCCAAAAAGGTGTGTTGCTGCCACCTACTGGATGTGGTAACTAAGTGAATACACCCCCTAAATCAGACTTCTTCAACTGGTGGCCCGCCGGCAGAATTTGTCCCACGGGTGGTTTTATTTGGCCCCCCAAGTTTTCTGAAAAAAAGGTATTATAATTAGTTGGGACATAAAAGACTGTAAAAACACCAGGAAATCAGCTCCCAAGTTATTTTAATTTTGGAAATCTGTTCCCAAATATTCCCACGCATAATAGAGAGACTTATGTGATCGTGTACAAATAATAAATAATAATTGATTGGATTTATATAGCACTTTTCTACCAACTGAGGTACTCAAAGCGCATTACATAGTAGGGGGAAACTCACCTCATCCACCATCAATGTGTAGTACCCGACCATTTTTGTGCCAAAATGCTCACCACACATCAGGTATCAGGTGGAGAGGTGAGGAGTGATATATGCCAATTAGGAATGAGGGGGATGATTAGGTGGCCATGGAAATGGGGCCACCCCCCTATTCTTACAATAAGTGCCATGGGATTTTGAATGACCACAGAGTCAGGACACCCGTTTTAACGTCCCATCCGAAAGACTGCACCAAACGCAGGGCAATGTCTCCAAATGTAATCAAGGGTTGAAATGATTATGTTTTAGTCAAATATTATATATGTTTAAGCTTCTTGAAGTCAATTTGCAATCTACATTTTTACATTTTAGTCATTTAGCAGACGGTCTTATCCAAAGCGACTTACAGTTAGTAAGTGCATACATTATTATTTCTTTCATACAAAATATTTTTTTTATGTTCCGGCCCCCCGACTATCTGCTCAAGAAAAAATTGGCCTGTGGCTGAATCTAGTTGATTATCCCTGCCCTAAATGTTGCATAATCTTTGTCAAATGATTTGTGAAACATCAGAGACATATGGTGAATAACTTTTGAAAGTGGACAGGAATTTGCTGGCTTCTTGCCTTCCTTGAGTTTGTGATCAACTATATGTATTTTATCAGATTCTTTATAACTGTCTTCGTTTCAGAATTGCCCAAAACAAAAATCTTTATCCTGGGAAAGGAAATTCCATTGAGAGGCAAGGCTCTGAGGCGAAAGAGGCACATTGTCCCTCAGTGCTGCACCTCCGGCTCGGAACCTCCTCAGGCCCAAAATAAGTACCAAAGGGAGGAGTCCAGCTACAAGTAATACCCAGACTACCAGTGCACAGAGGAGGAAAGGGGAAACAGTGGCTGCATGGAGAGAAATGAGGTAGCAGCTGCACAACATCCTTGTGGAGAACATGGCCCCAGTAAAATCCATCTGCTCCGTGTGGTATTGAGCCAGAGATAATATGGCGGTGTACTGACTGTGGGGCTGAGACAATTTTTTTTATTTTTTATATCAAGTACAGTACTACGTACTGAGCTGTTGCCTGAAGCAGATCACACAAAGTGGTGCCATGTTCAGTGCCTAAATGGATGTTGCATGAGACAAGCAATATTATTACATTCAACATACACAATACCAACATATCGTCTCCAACCTTAAGACCACTGAGTCAAACAGATGAAGTGGAGGGACAACTGCATCATTTAAATATGAATTAGTGGCGAGGTTTAATATCATGAGTTCAAATAATTCTAGATTTTGTTCACATTCCCTTCCAGTTGTGCATAAGGTAACAATGGAAGGTAACCTTAAAATGCAGTGCATATTACATTCAGGCATTACCCCTGTTGGTGATATGGGCTTACAAACTAATCGATCCACATCAGCTTGGTTTGCAAAGTACTTTTCCTCATGTTCAAACCAAAAAGCCCATCCGCTGCTACCAACACTGTTCCACTGTCCTGTAAAGAGATGTCAAATATAATTGGATACAACTTTAGTTTTTGGACCCCAAGAAGAGTAGCTGCTGCTTTGTAACAGATCATGGGGATCCCAATAAACAAATAAAATGAAAGACTAGAAGTCTGTTAGTCTGTATAATTGTTTGACAAAAATGGAACAGATGTTTCTAATAGATAATTTGTGTTTATAAAAGAGGGAGACATCACAATTGATATATTATGCTTTGATGTGTTTTTTGGGGGTGATAAAACATTAGGCCAAAAGAATACAACAAACCTTGGGACAGAGCAGGCACTGGGTTCCATTGGCAGTTTCTGGGGCCAGACGGCGCAAGACATCAAGTTCCGACATAGCATGTCAGAACTCCTCATATGTCTCATTTGTCAGGGTAGTATACAAGTCTCTTCCCTGAAATGAATGAACAAAGTCACTTAAAAGGCACTCTGATTCATTACTGCATTCCATCAGAGTAGGCCATCAACAAATACAGCAAATGCATTTTCACATACAACTAGCACATGGTTTGTATGACAGATCTGTTTATCAAAACAGGATTTTGGTTATGAACTTTTGCAGACAAAGTAGACATAGTATAGAATCAGATTATAGAAGTGATTACTTACGTCCTATGAGGAACACTTTATGACAGGCATATGGCCCTCAGTGAAACACCACTCTCAAGCTGCAGGCTTTTCCTGCAAGCATGAGCACCCGCGTCACTTCTTGAACATGAAAAAGGGTGAATGGTGGGATGCTGTAATAATTAGTTTTTTTTTCTTTTCAGTATTTTTTTTCAGTGTTTGATTAATTTAGTTTGCAAATAATTATATACACTACGTTCAAACATTTTAGAACACCTCATTCAAGGGTTTTTCTTTTTTTTACATTGTAGAATAATAGTGAAGACATCAAAACTATGAAATAACATCAAATGATGGGGAGAATGTAGACCCACCGGCTGATCAGGTGAGGATGCAACAAGGGTTCTGGGGGGCCCAGGAGGTCCGCTGAGGCCAGACTGTTCCTCACCACGTCTGAGGGGCACTGGAGGTCAACTGGGGCCCGGCTGGCCCTCGCCACTTCTTGGGGGGGCTGGAGGTCCACTGGGGCCCGGGTGGCCCTCGCCACTTCTTGGGGGGGCTGGAGGTCCACTGGGGCCCGGGTGGCCCTCACCATATCTGGATGGGACTGGAGGTCCACTGGGGCCCGGCTGGCCCTCACCATATCTGGATGGGACTGGAGGTCCACTGGGGCCCGGCTGGCCCTCACCATATCTGGATGGGACTGGAGGTCCACTGGGGCCCGGCTGGCCCTCGCCATTTCTTGGGGGGGCTGGAGGTCCACTGGGGCCCGGCTGGCCCTCACCATATCTGGGTGGGACTGGAGGTCCACTGGGGCCCGGCTGGCCCTCACCATATCTGGATGGGACTGGAGGTCCACTGGGGCCCGGCTGGCCCTCACCATATCTGGATGGGACTGGAGGTCCACTGGGACCCGGCTGGCCCTCACCATATCTGGGTGGGACTGGAGGTCCACTGGGGCCCGGCTGGCCCTCACCATATCTGGATGGAATTTCTATCTACAAAAATCTATTATTGTGCAGCGCTTCACTTACTTCTTTTTCACACAATAAAACCTCTTGCATACAGTTGTTAAGAGTCATTTCAGGGGCCGGCCTACAATATCTATTCAGTTATATCAAGTAATAATTTAATCGGAAAATTGAACAATAACAAGATAGAATGAGACAAAGATATAATTAATTTCAAATTTGAAGTCCCCTGCCTTTGCCAGTATGTCTTCCAGCTGTTTCTTTCCAAAAGATGACGGTCGCTTGATGGTTAACTCATGCCCCAGACATCTAATAACGATGGTCCCCTCCTCAAAAGAGCGGTAGGGGAACCAACCTTTTCCACCACATTCATCTAACAGGGAAGACACAGAGAGCTTGGAATGGATAACATACACTATCGGTCAAAAGTTTTAGAACACCTACTCATTCAAGGGTTTTTCTTTATTTGTACTATTTTCTACATTGTAGAATAATAGTGAAGACATCAAAACTATGAAATAACACATATGGAATCATTTAGTAACTAAAAAAATGTTAAACAAATCAAAATATATTATATA